ACACTTCACGAACTCAAGAACAGCTGAATTACAGTATGACTATACAGCTGTGACAAAACTTAATGTTAATGCAGAGCTATTTCTTCATTTTTGAAGAATGTTTACCACTGGGACCAACTTAACATTTAATCCCAAGTTATTTACTACAATTTTACAGTCTATGGTTTCTGGAATTCCGTTATCCCACATTCCCAAGGATAAGGACACAAAGAATATGTACACCAGGAATAAATGAGTGTAAACTTTTGGGTTGTATCATTCAGAAGTCTTAGAGCCTGGACACCAGTCATAACATAATGAAAACTGCCATTCAGCCTGAGCTAGATTCAGTGTTTTAGCTTGGATTTGAAAAGTGGGAGTGCAAAATGAAAAACAGGGAGTGCAATCTTGTTAGACTTAAAATGTGTGCCCAAAGCATGCAACACAAGTTCTCAGCATGAAGTCCCTTTCTGCCGGGATTCAGGGCCTGCATAAGGGCCCTGGAAGCTCTCCCTGTTTTAGATGCCCAGTGGTGGTCTCTGATGAAATTCTGACATTTTTCTGAGAGTTTTGCCTTTTCGAACAAAAAAAAACAGCTTTTACAAAAAAAATTAAAATTGTAGAACTGTGTGGAATTGTTTTATATAGTGTGATTAAACAGCCCTGCAACAAAGAAGGGAATAATGACAAACACCTTTGAACAGATTTCTCATCACCACTTTATTTTGTTTTAAAAAAAATTGGTATTCAGGTAATGATGCATGTCAGTACTTGACAAACGTTTTTCTGCCATTTTGTTTGCAATACAGTACATTAAGGTTAATATGTGATAAGCAAACAAAAATAAATACTGATATTAAATGAATTCCAGTATTCCTACATACATGTTTCCTTTGGCAATTTGGATAAGAACAAGCAAACTGAGTACAAGACTCGACTTCAATGTGGGTGAAAAAATACATCGTACACACATAGTACATGTACATATGCACACTGTACACGCAAACATGCAAGTGTGTATTTGCCTGCAACTGGGGACCCCCTATTGTTTGTCTTTTGGTTGTACTGTAACTTTTTTAGAAGACCACCCATATGTTTTGTACACAGTTGTCAATCGGGGACCCTCTGCCAATCGGGGACCTTATTGCCCTCTAGTGTCCAGGGTCCCCAATGGAATGTAGAAACAAACTCACATACACCACAGGCAGGCCACGTGCTCACGCTTGTGTAAGAGTCTGAACATGGCATCGGAAGAGTTCGACAATTTTTCCATTGTTAAGGTAGAAGAACCTAAACAAGCTTTATGCTGATTATTAACAATAACAAAGATTACGCGTAAGCCAGCCCTTGCCTTCCAGAAGAAATTCAGTTAGTTTTTGTTTCATTCTGGATGATATAGTGAGCACGCAGCACAAGCCTTGAAACGATTATATGTCAACCTCTTCCCCATGGACTACCTCGTGCAAGAGTGGGCACAATATGGTGGCTACAGATTGCCATGGGAATGAGGTTGATTACATGTACAATTGATTGCTGGTGAACAAGTATGGTTCCCTGTATTTATTTTGTTACATAGATAGATATGGTGCTGTAGTTCATTATTTGTAAGTAAGGGAACCCGCCTACCGGCGTTGATACTGTAGTAGTTCCCATGGCAAAACTTACCCTAGTCTTCGGCTTGGACTGCTCTGATGGACTGTCAAGGAATCTTGTTAGGCGGAGTAACTGCTACACACCCAAAACACTCGTAAGAAACAACAAATGGATGCCAAACTCTAATCCGAACGTTAGGGTTTATTCGACGATAAGACTTAAAAGAAGGTGACAGGTATCTGTGTATATAATTGGGTCTCTGTGACCCCGTGATGTCATGCAGGACCGGCGAGTTAATTTTGGAGACAGGGGTGACCCTAACCCGTTTTGCCACAATACGTTCAAACCGAATACATCTGAACCGTAGTCCCAGCGTACACGTCCGAACCATGGTCCCAGCGTACATGTGCTTTATTGCAGTGTATTTTCTATGTTGAACTTGGTTTATGGGGCCGGGAAAAAGCATGGGAAAAGACTGAATTTTACCTCAGATTTTATTTTACTAGATTACACAAGACTCGAATTAAGTAGTTCACGGCTTGCTTTGCACTGCCAGGCCGTGCTTGAAAAAATGGGCCGTGATTTCACGAAACTGGCCACGCAAAACACGGCTGCACGGCTCACTAGCTAAAACGCTGGCCAGATTACAAGTACCTGTTTATACACTTCACTCAGATCTCAGACTTTTTCCTGGGGACAGGGTCTTTTTCTCTGCAGTTTTAGTATTGGCCCAAATAAAACTTGCCCAAGAATAGAACACTGGTTGACAATGGGAAGCTAAACAGTCGCCTCAAATTGAAATACGCTTTTGTGCAACAAGGACAAAACGGGCATTTTGAACAAGAATCTAGGACTACTTCAGCTTCCATTTTTCAAAATGGAAAACAGTGACTTCACTGTTTTTGTGTCGCATGTGAAGCACTTTCAAGTACTTCCCTAGCCCATACTCGTGATATCGTCGTAGGTTTAGGTATGTATATGAGTCAGTGTGATAATAAACAAACAATCTGGGATTACTCTAGGTGCCCAAACATTCATCATTCACCTAGGATACATGTACACGTACATACATACTGCAGTTCAAGTGGGGCCTTCTAACATGTCTAAGTAGCATTTCTGGGAGTGGAATTTTGACACAGTTGCAGAATACATGTTTTCCACTTCATAGCCAGTTGCAAAAGTAAGAAGTCAGGTTTGACCATTCACACATGTATGCATGTACATTGTGCAGTACTCTGTACGTCCAGTTGCATCTGCTTGGAATTTGTTTAAAGGGAATATCTGCCTTGAGCAGAAGCACCCCACATCAGTTGAAAAAGAGCCATGTTGGTCGGTAGTGTTCATTTTTGTTGGTAGCTACACAACTGCAATGCATGCATTTCATAGTCGTTTGTGAACCAGCAATGTGCAGTTCCTACCGAAGGAGCCTTCGTTGCCAGGAAAATTGGCCCTCTCTTCATGCTTGGGGGTCTCTTTCTCCCATCCTGGACTCCATGATCCCACTGTGTACGTGTGTGTCTACGTATCCACTACTTGGGAGACACTCTTGTTTTCAATCTTCCCTATTCAGTGCATGAACAGGTTTATTCCCTTCAAGGATATATAAAAGAGACTCTGTAGCATCTTTTTCCCCTGCCCAACTCCATCCCATAAATCCCATATTTGTGTTGCCTTTTCACTCCCTTAGAATTAGCTGTACTCTGAACTTGACCTTTTTTGTTATCAAAATCTTTTGACTGTGTAGTCAATGCATACGATGTACATGTATATGTACCTCCTTCGGCTACGTAGCCACTTATTTCCAGGGATATGCTGCAGTTATATTGAGATTCTAGTTTGAAGTCGATTATAAACTAGTAGTGCTTTCATTATTCACATTGTTACCTGTTGCTGTGCACATTTTAAGCTGTTGTAGATTTTTTTTATAGAAAGCTTGAATCATTATTGATTCCCATGTTTTTTTATGCCCAAACCCCACATGCTGTTGAAAACAGACATTGGTGCCATGTTGCGTGGAGTTTTGCTTACTGCAGCACAGGGTTAAGTTGATTTTACGTATCTTTGGGCCTAACAAATATCTTTGGTTCAGGCTGCATCACCCAGCCAATTCTACGTATCATCTGGAGTCCATAAAATGCAACAACACATAGTTTTACTATGGGAAGAAATGAATTCTATGATAATCACCTCCCAATCATTAGTCATAATGTGCCAACTATGTACAGTATATCTTACCATTTTCAAAAGGAGACATTTTCAGCCAAAGTAATACATCTACAAGGGTTTAAGAAACTTGTGGATTAAAATTATAACAACTTTGGCATACATGCATATATATCATAATGCCGGTACAATCTCAAAAAAACTGAGAACCCATTTTCTATCTGTCAAATTCAAGTCAAAGAATGCACACAAAATCCTTGTGTATCTGCTTTCAGTGCTTGGAAAAGGCATGCAGTTGTTACCTGCTATGATAGGGCCATGATGTTTTGAACACTCGAGGGGGTACATGTAAATAGCTAATTGAGAAGACACCTCATTTAGCCACTTGCCCCCTCGGGTGTACAAAGCCCATGGACCTCATCACAGCAGGTAACAATTGTTTGGTTATACCACGTTAACAATTTATACAGATGTAGGGGAACAGTAAGTTTACTGCAGAATGATGCATTTTGCTGAAATAGTTTTCAACAATGAAGTGTTTATTTGAAAAATACTATTGAATTGAATAATTGAGAGGAAGTACCATCTTTTTGTTGACATTTTCTGTGAAATCTTCCAGTAAGCTGTTCAATTCTGTAAGGGTAACGTCTGAACCTGAGAGTCTCTTCGTGTTGAGGTGCAGAATTTGCAAACTATCAGAAATAGCGGGAAATGTTCCGTTCATTTCTTTGTGCTGATGATGTCTTTCTCAATCAAATTTCTGATCTCTTCTTTGGAATGAAAGAGAACCTTTTCTTGGGAAGCAACCTGTTCTCATGTTCCAACATTATTACTGTGGATTAATTGCAAAATTTGCAGTTGAAAGACAAAATAGACAAAACAAAAGAACGACACGTTGACAATAATGTTAACTTTAACAACAGTGGTGGACATGACAGAAGTAGCGCTTCACTGTTACCCATGGCTCATTTTGTAGGAATATACATGTAAGTTTACGTAATACCAGCATAGCTACAACCTAATACATCACGCACTTATATACAGGAGACTCTACACTTTCAACAATGGGAAAGATCAAGGTTACCATGTCTACATATTCCCTGTGGGGTACATTACTCATGTACCACATCACACATGTACGTGTGTCAGTAGACATACGTGTACATGTACACAAGTTTTTGTGGCAAATCATGTGATTGATGCTCAACCAATAAAAATTCACAATCTTTCTCTATGTTATAACAACATGCTTTGTTGCCTTACAGTGCCATCCTTTGAACTGACACCATTGGCCAGTATTTGCTTGTTGATGGTTGATGTACCTGTACAGGTCTGCGTATACTATTCCTCATTGATGTGAGGTAAGCAAAGTTTTCTGTTAATAGTCTTTCAGTTGTGGATTGTTTACAGCTTCTAACTCCATACATGTTTTATAAATGGATGTAGGAACCATGCAGTCAGCCCTCTGTTTCTTTTGTTGAATAATAGGGAAAAGGGATATTTGTATGAGGAGCCTATTTTATGGGTTAAATATTATAATTTAGGTATTCTTGATACATGTACACATGTAGAAAGTACAGTCAGTAAAACTAGGTAGAGTTATCAAAAATTTCCTAGTATTCATGAATATGTGCTATGACTACTCCTACTTTGACACTGCTGCTATTGAAAAGATTAACTGCTTGGTGTCTGTGGATATACATGTACATCGGGTGTGGTACTTTTCAAGCGTACGTGGCATGTTGGTCTGTGTAAGCCTTGGGGGTTGGTTTATCCCTTGAAAATTTGGTACATGTGCACCATTTCTGTCAAACAAAATATCAGCAGTCAGTCCTAACAGACTGCATAAAAGTGCATTCACTGTACATGTAACTTAGCATTTTTATCCTTTCTCTTATACGTACATGTACCTGTTCCTACTCAAATATTTCTACATGCAGGTGAATGAAAAGTCTTTCTCTGTGTCTTGGTATCAGCACCACTTAAGGATGGCAGAAGGAGGATATGATCCATGTGAATGTGTGTGTTCACATGAAGGTGCTATGCGAAGATTGATAAGTATGGTGAGTTGCTAAAAGCTGCTGTTGTTGTCATATGCATGTACTGTACAGGGTACTTAAATACATGTTCATGTACTATATATATTCTGTGAGGGAGGACTTAAGTCTGGATTCAAACATGTGACTTGGCTCAGAATTATGGTCTTGTGGACTTGGTTTGGGTTGGACTGGGAAAGTGGCCCACCCAAACAACCACTTAGATTCAAATGGAGTCCATTTACAATGTAAAACTACATTCAAACTAAAGAGAAAAAACAATATTTGCTTTGAAAATACAAGCACAATGTTGAAACGAATGTATGAGAGTAGAAATCAAACATTGCAGAATCGTAAGCACCAGTCTAAGTCCATGCTCTCACCAGCTTCTTTTGCATGGCTGGAGCATCAATATGGATACATGTTCTTCTTCTTGTTGATTCTAACACAGTAGTTTTCAGTGAGAAATATTGTTTTAATAATTGTTGCACTGGTCTTTCCTAAAGGTGTAGTATCAGGAATCAGTACCAATAATTGAGCCAAACTGTGTGAAGTAAATCTTTATTTTATCTTCATACTTGTCGTTCACATCATTTGCATTTAAGCACATGCTGTCTCTCTCAAACTAGAAACTGCTTTTGGGACAGCAATCGCAATCAGGCTGTTTGTGGTACCACAGACAGCCATGTATTGAACTGTCAGTGCACATGCTACAGTTAGATGAGGGATATTAAAAAGGCCACTCGTCAAATCACAGTAGTAAGGTACATGTACATGTACATACAGTACATGTACTGTTCATGTGCACACTGTATCCTGGCATCAAAGTACTGTACAACATGCATTGGGGAGTAATGGTGTGTGTCTGTGTCCCATATACTATTAGGAGGTGTGTGTCTGTGCCCCATATACTATTAGGA